ACTATGGTGCTTTCTTTGCTTTCTGTACATCTTTTGCAATAAAATGATAGCATACCAGCGCCCATACCTTTTCTATTACTATAATAACTACACCGGCTACTATTACTGGAACCAACTTTTTTATTTTTACCCTACGCTGACAAGGATGCTGTGAATCAACCACTTCAACACACTTGTAGACAGCTGCATACAGAGAACAAGCCATTAGGTACTAATGTCTGCTAAACTTGAGGTGGTAACCATCGCGGTCAGCCCCTTCTGTAATTTAGTTCCCTTTCAAACTTAAACTGAATATACTTGTGTTGAAAGTGTTGAATTGTCAGTCTTGGTTAACGTTAGTTCTGGAGAGCTCTGTTTTGTTTTTGTGAGTGAGAGACTGGGTGCCGCGGTATATAACGTTATTTAGTCAGTGGTATTCCTGTTGACTACTGAAGTAGCATACTGCTGTGGTCATAAACGACATATAACAGCTTGTGTTGCATTGACTGGTGCCCCTCCCCAACAGCATGAACAGATTTTTGGAATTTGATGGGGTTGTTGCACAAAAACAATCCGAGAGTAGAGGAGAAATCAGAGAACAGACGTTTCACAAGCACACTGAGGAGAAGGGCTGAAGCTGAAAAGCAGGAAATCTGTGCAAGCAACAATATATCTGCGGGCAAGCATACAAACGCAAGCATGGGGCTATTTCAGTGTAAGGACATGGTTTTGAGGGAAAGCATTACAAAATCTAAACGTGGAATCAATAAGTCCTGCTCTCAAAGTGAAAGCACACGCTCTGGAACACAGATAGGAAAATGGCTCCATAGGACAGATCTGCTCAATGCTGCGAAAAGCAAAGAACAATCTCTAGCAACAGATTTCAAAAACAATCAAAGATCTGCAAGTCAATTGGAGCAGATGAAGGCAACCCATCAAAACAGGGTGACGGGAATCAAGTTAAAGCTACGTGCTGAAAAAGACTCTGGTACAGTCGTTATCGACAAACATATATTATCTGAGGGTGCAGCTGAAAGACAAAGCAGAGTTTAAGGCTCACGCAAGAGTGCTTAGGAGCACTCTAAAGTTTGAGAGGGTTCAAGCTCAGAAAATGCAGAATAAACTGAGGCTACATCCACACTAATACTCCGCTTTTTTAAAATGAAAACGCTCTCCGTCCGCACTTAAATCCGCAAACCGTGAACCTTTTAAACATCCGCTCCGTAGGGCTGATAATGCCACTGGCTAATCGGTCCATTAATAGCTGCTTCTTCCGCAAAAATGCAGACTTTAACTGGACAACAGCTGCTAGTAAAGACAACAAGGTCAGCAACACCTGTAATCGGTCGTCCATGTTGAATTAACCTGGTAGTTGATCGGTAATCAAGGCTGTTGTTTGTGATTTTCCGGGAAAGGCTCACGTGAGTGTGACGAATCAGGGAAGGACACGTTGTGACTGCTAGGAACCAATCAAGTAGCGTACGCGGGTGTGGGTGTCATCGTTTCCAAACTTATGCGTTTATGATCGTCCACACGAAGAGGCAACCCCAGAGTTTTTAAACTTATCCGTCTTCGGGAGCGTTTCCAAACTCCTCCATTTTCGGTGCTCGAAAACTCCGGCGTAGTGTGGACGCTCATTGTAAACGTAGCAAAACGTATACATTTTCAAATGGAAACGTAGTAGTGTGGACATGTTTCTAGGATTAGAATGATCACATCATGAAATAGATTGAGAGCATGGTGTGGCAATTGAAACATCTACAACTGTCTATGTCTAGATAAAATAACATGTATTTGACTGCGAGCACTTCATACAACACCAGTGAAGAGATGCAGCAGCAGAAGAGCAAAGGTCTTTTTAATCCACATCTTATCAATAAACACAGTCCTCCTCCTCTTCAGAAAGTTCACAGCAAACCAAATTAGTATAAAGACCCACCACTGTTACTCAGCTCGTGACACAAAGATGTCTTTGTACTGTTGTTTTTCAATGCAGATGTCAATTTGCTTGAGTGGATGACATGTCTGTTTCAGACCACAGTGCCAACTACAGTGTAACTCTTGTGTGTGTGTGAGGTACCCCCTTCCTTCAGTATATAGCTCTACCCTGCTGAGACACAGGGGAAGTCTGCCTTCATAAAGGCCGCCTGACCAATTCTCAACGGGAAAAACAGCCACAACCACGGCACTTTGGCCAGCCTAGTTGTATTGATTTCTGTCTGCACAGTAAGCCTCTTTCCTCCCCTTAATCTGATATATGTGATCTCTTTTTATTATGCCAGTTTCCTAAACTTATAGCCTCCTCTAATGTCGCGTATTTCCTCTGACATTTAACTGATTGTCAGGTTTTTATGTTCATTCTAGCCTATTTGTATCTTGTAGTATCACTGTCAGAAGATCCACCGTGAGCTGGAGGAAGACTCCTGCCACCCTGCAGTAAATTACTGCTGCTAAGGTCGGTTTGAAATCGATGTTAAGTGCACCTTTACAGTCTTGATGGATGGAATTGTGCGCTACTGGGCCAGAAGTGTTTTCCAGGTCTTGAAATATGAAGCTGAGGACTCTGTGGCTGCTTCAGCTGCTCATTGAACATGATTGTGTGTTAACAACATAAAAAGGTCAACAATGCTGCTTTTTGCAACGTTTGCTTTTGGCCTTTTGTTCTACCAAGAGCGTGTTCCCCATCCATCTGAGGAGTCACATGTGCCGAATGTGATTGATTTCTGAAGGCTTCTCCATTTCAACATTAGAAATCCTCCTTTCCTCTGTACTGATCTGGGGATTATTTGCTTCCACGGTCGCCTTTTCAGCTGCTTCCTTCACACGCTGTTCAATTTATGGCTGCCACCCACACTTCTCTGGCTCTGACAATGGCTCTGGCATTTCCATTGAACTCCCGGGCCTTTGTGCATTTCTTACACCTTTTATATTATATAACTTTCACCCCTGAAAGTGAAACCCAGTCGTCAGAAAAAAAATGTTGCCATTGTATGTTTCTGCAAACCATGGAATACGTTGAACGACGTTTCTGATTGGTTAGGTTAATAAGGCAACAAAACTCCCAAGGTTAGAAAAGAATCATGGTTTGGTTTCAAACAATAATGTAACACGGTAATGTCTGCACCAGGAGGATGTGTGTTAGTGGATGGATGGCTCAAACAAACACAGTACTTTCACCCAGGAGACCACTGTTCCGTGTCCCATGTGAAACCAAGAGCAACATCATTTATTTTAAGTCGCATGTAACTACATTGGTACGTAACCACGTCACGTGCATACATTGCATAACAAACTTAATACTAGTTTTAATTCAAACCGTTTCCCAATTTTAACTAAGACTTAATTCTAGTTTCACTGCCGTGAAAACAGTAATTTAATGAATCACATCAATAAATAAATGTGTTTTTCATCCAGATGTTGTCAGGGCCCGTGCTCGACTCTCTCCTTGACTCCAGCCCATGTTAATCATTCACTTGTTTTGTGTGACTGGAGGAGAAGCCAAATGCTGTAGCTCGCAATGAAGAAATAATGAGGGGGGGGGGAGTTTGTGTTTTTACTGGTGTCTGTGCGGTCTTTATTTGATGCCTTATAGACGGGTTTCACACAAAAATCGTGGATGTGCTTGAGACACAACGCTACAATGTAATGGATGAATGAGAACATTCTCTGTTCAGGATTTAAAAATAAAGCCACTTTGTAGAAACTAGTAATAAAACTGTTTAGAGGATAATGTCTATTACCTACTTCATATCTACCTCTTATTTCCAAATCTATTCCACACTTTGACTCCAGGGACCAGTTTCACAAATACATTTTTGACTGGACTGCCAGTCTTTATTTTGATACTCCGTTGATTGTGGGATTAATTACAAAACCCCGGCAGCTTCTTGCTGTTGTTGTTTCCACATTGTGAGTCTGTGTGTGTGTTCTGGAGACACCTCTTCTCTGATTGCAAATTAGTCCTCCTGAAAATAGTCAAGAACTGGACAGCAAAGGATCAATGTTCTATTATCAGCATCCATCTGAAGTTTGACTACTTGTTAAATATAAGTCATACTCAGAATCTTTGTGAAACCTAAATCGATAGTTTTGTTCTCTGAGTCAACAGGGAGGTTTACAATCTATGCAGTTTGTCACACAAACAGCCCTCTTGAACTCTTCTTTGTTTTGGTTTGTCTGGCACCTTGTTATAATCCAATTTCTTGATCCTTGTATTGCGTTTTAGTTGTATTGTGGTGTGGGTTAGAAGTTCACTGCTGCTAGTTGCTGCTGGATTCACCCAGGCACTGTGTGTGTATATTGTATTACATCTGGTCTGTATTTGTTTATGTGTGTGTGTGTGTGTGTGTGTGTGTGTGTGTGTGTGTGTGTGTGTGATGCTCCTGATAGGACAGTGTCACGACCCTGGGATCGCTCACACATATAGCCGTATTGTAATTGAGGCCTAAAAATACCAGGAGCGAATGTGGAGTCTCGTGGAGCCTCCCAACACACATCTCTTAGAATCCACAGTAATGAGCAACAAATCCATGTCAGTAAAGGACTCATGAAGACCCCATGACACCAATATCTGCAGCACACAAACGCAGAGAAAAAGAAGAGAACGCAAACATGAGTAGTGGAAAAAAAGAAAAAGGGAGAGAGTAACTAACTGATAGGGCTGGCTGTGGTTGTGTAACCTACTGGATGGGAGACAGTATATTGATCAGCTGCTTTCCTGCTGTTTTCTGCCTCATTATCAGATGACTCAGACGACTGTCTTTGGTCAAGCTTGCACATAAAGATCCTTCACAGCTGCACAGCTGCTCTGTGTCATGAAGGCACGGCACCAGGGAGTGTTTACACTTTAGTTTCTTTGATTTATGCTGTACTGTATGTTGTTCTGTACATAGTAAAAAATAGCCCGCATTTGTTTTTCCTAAATGTTTTTTTTCTGAGAAAAGTATCCATATTCATTGATGGATTGGAGTATTGGTTGCACATCTCAACCTCTCTCTCCGTGTGTCTATTTCTTCTCCAAGAGTCGGTCCTCCCCAGCACCATGAACAAGATGAAGAACTTTAAGAGGCGTTTCTCCCTTTCTGTTCCTCGAACCGAGACCATTGAGGAGAACGAGTTCACAGAGCAGATAAACCAGCTCAACATATGCCACACCCAAGGTAAGAACCCCCCCCATTCCCCTCACTTTTCTGACCCTTTCCTCTCTCTTCATTGCCTTCAGGAGGTTTGGATGAAAGTGGAACATTTGGACTTTGCCACATGGATAATTGCAATCAAACGCAATATATTGTTCTTGTTTTTTCTTTAGTGCAATGTCTTTTGGTTTAATTTAAGGTGGTATCAGCGGCTGCAATCCATTCTTTGTGAATTCTGAGAGTTGACATTGGATTTAAATTCTGCCCCGTGACATCGTCGACGCATAATTGTGGGAATTGTGGGCTAATATTCTGTACAATAAATTTGGGGAGTGTAACTTTAGAGAATCGTCAACAGCCAAATCTCTCTACTTTGTGTGTTGGTTGTGTGGGTTGCCACACAAAGATATCTTTTTGTAACTCCACTCTTATCTGAGGGATTTCAGTTTCTTTTTTTTACACGCTGGCAACAGTTGGCCGACAAAACCATTTTACAGCCAAACCGTGGGTTAATTAAGCGCGTTTAAAGTCCTGAAGCCTGAGCTCCTCTACTTCCTTGTGCGAATGAACAGCTTGTGTCTAATAATAGAGCGCAAACTGCAATCTCACTCTGGGTTTTAATACCAAACACAAAAGCCTTTCTTTCGTCCCCGTGTCTGTAACGGACCCTCACAGATTAACCTGTTTTTTTGGTGGTGGTGGGGGGGGGGGTTTCTGGCTACACGACTGGTAACACTTCAAAGGAGAATGAGGGTTGTGGTGGTGAGTAGGGGGGTAGATGCATCCAGTATGCGGTTTTTGCAGTTTGTATTACACAAAGAGATGGAATAAGATGAGTTGCGTGAATACACAGGGCTAGTAGGATGGTTAAGACTTTCATTCTACACGATGTGCAGTGTTGTTTATGGTTGTTTGAGGATGGGAATAAAGCGTGTAGGTTTGTTGCTTCATATTTATATTCATATTTAATGCAAAAAATATAACGTCAATAGAAGAAGAGATGTTGTTGGTGCGGGATGCGAGGTCACTCTAGGTGTATTGAAATTGTTGAAGTGCACAAGCGTGTGAATGTACACATGATGTACTGTGATGAAGCGATCTCATCAGACCTGATGCCGATCCGACTGCCTGGCAGAGAGAAGCAGCTGGATATGTAGTTAC